GCATTATTAGACACCTAAGGGGGCTTCTGTGAGAATAGATTTCATATTAGCAATTAAACAATACTTGTAAAGTGGTTTGCTTATCAGACCTGTAAATATATATATATGATAAGGGTTATTTATGGAAAGAAGCTGCATGTTAGGAGTGATGGTGGCAGAAGCAAATCACTCAGATTCCACTGTCAGGGCACATTCTGTTCTCTTGTTATCATCATTCTGGTCTATAAAACTGAAGAGATCAAGGTATTCCTATAATTCAGCTACTTCACAAGCCTTCTTGTGATAGAGATTAATCTTGTAAAAGGGCTAATATTATTATAGTGACAGTGTAAGTATTACAGGTGTCTCCTTTGCTGAATTCACACATCTGATATCAAATGTTGCCGGAGGGGATCTGGGTGGAAGTCTTTCAAAGGCTAGGTAAACTCAGAGCGGACTTCCAGGCACTGCTGCTCAGTACATTAATCTTCTAGAGCAGTGGCTTTCAACCTGTGGTCCGGAGACCCCTGGGGTTCCACAGACTTAAGTCTAATGGGTCCACAAAAGATGATTATGATTAAACAAAAGTATTTGAATACCCACACTTACAATTCAGAGGCATCTGCACCTCCAATCAAAATATTTTAGGGATCCGCAAATGAAAAAAGGTTAAAAACCACTATTCTAGAGCATTGTATAAGGGTAGGCTTACACAGTAGTAGGAATAGACCTATCAGGCTAGGAACAGACATTGTATCTGCCCCTTGAAAAGTTGTGCCTGTGCTAATCTCGGAATAGAAATATCCCAGGATTAGCGTGTACACACATCACCTTTTTAATTAGGGTTTAGGGAGTGGCTGAATACACTGCCTGCCACTCTTCTCTCCTTGATTCAGTGATGCAATCCTGGGATACCTATTCAAACACATGCTAGGCACATCTACAAGAGACATTTACTGTGGAGCTGTTTAATTAGCTCTTTAATAAACATTTCATTGTCTACACATGTGCCCCTATTAGGTTGCAGTAAACTAATAAACTCCACCACAGTATTTACAAGTGCTATCCTACAGTGGAGATTGTTAGTAAGCAGCACATGTGTAGATGCTTACCGAGCTGGCTGGGGCACAAGGGTGCTTCAGTGTAGGGAGCTGCCTGCTGGTGAGCCCCACACTAGAGCATCCTTGTGTCCCAGCAAGCCCTTCTGTAATGCATTGAGCTGGGTTGAAGCAGCCTGAGGCTGGCAGACTGATCCCCCTGATTCCCCAGCCAGCCAGGGATGCTCTGACTCAGCTCAACATGCTGTGGTCCTGGGCACACATTCAAATGCAGCACTCGGGAGCAATAAACTCTGGCACAATATGTACCAGAGTTTATTGCTTTGAATTAATTGCACATGTAGATGTGCTGCTTGTGAAGTTTCCAGATAAACTATTAGTACTGCTTACCCTATGCATCTTTTTAGGATTTATCCTAAGACAATAGACAAGGAAATATGATTGTATTTTGTCCATTCCATTTCATCCTGGGACAATTGTGACATCTGTTTATAGCCTCAGAGCTAGCTTTAAACTAGTTAGCTTGGGTATTGCTACAAGCCTTGCTGTGGTATCCTAGAAGAATGCAAAATAGTAAAACTTGCCTGAGAAGCTTGATAAACTGTTAGCCAGTGTATCCCCATCTATACTGAATGATATGCAGTACTTTAGAAAATATGGGCAGGGTAGCATATTATAGATTAATTCAAAGAGGTATTCTGTAAGGTGCCACCCTGCCATGCCTTCTGCCTTACTTCAGACTAGCACAACTACCTCTCTCTTAGAAAGTATGGGTGAATTCTTGTCTCTGCTGAGGTCAAAGCCTTCATTGACTTTAGTGGGCCCAGGATTTGACCCCTAATCTACTTACTCTCTTTCATAGATGATGATGAAATATGTAGCAGGAAAGAAAACTGTCCTAAACAATGGAGAGCTGGCAGAAAGTCTGTTTTTTTGTTTTTTTATTGGCAGAAATACACTTTCATCCACTGTTACATCTGCACATAAAATAGTAACTACCTGTCTTTAGGATTGCAGGTGTTATTTCATTTATGTAAATCCTAGAATGGGAGGGATAATATAATGACAAAGGTCTATTTCATTCCTTATAAGGTTCCATTTTAGATGTGTTTTCTGCATTCCTAGTACAGTATACAAAACTGCTATCTAAACCTCAGGGCTCAATCTTACACTCATTGAAGTTGGTGGAAAATTTGTCTTTGAGTCTAAGAGGTAAAAGATCAGACCTTAAATGACTATTGCTATATGTGTCTGCAGTCAGTGGTCATATGCAGTTGTATATTGTATTATTCATTAATTTATTTGCTTGTATTTCTAAGGCCCAATGTGCATTGAGTTTTGCATAGATATGCAGGAGGGTACTACTTTGGTACATGCTTCTTGCTTATTAGCAAGAAGAAATAATTGTTCTGACAGAATTAGGTAAGGCCTGCTAATATACAGTGATACTGATGGAAAGGACCGTGTTCATCTTACAGTGACAAGATCCACTGTCTGATGCAGCAGAAGAAAAAAATAAGGAACTGGCAGTGAGAAAAAAAAAAAGAGTCAGTACAAGCAGTACACAATTCTGGCTTTTACAAAGACTGCCAGAAATTAGTTAAAATAGTCTGAATTGTCCTTCACTCCTAGAAGGAGTGGATTCCCCCCACCCCGCCATCCCAGCCCCAGTCATCATGGGGTTAGAGCATGCAAATGCTGTTGGGAATAGGGCTTATTGCTGTATGTCCTGTTTGAATTCACTGTAATAAGCACTGTATAAAAGTTATAGGATTGAGCTCACAATTACATTGAGATCTAGGTGGCCTATATAGGTGTAAATGAGGGTCTTACTTTGCCTCAGTCCTCTCTATAGGTCCATAAGCCAAATCAAAATCTAGCCCTCCATCAGCAAAGGACTCAGGTGATCCCTTGCATCTTAGTGTGAGGCACACATATCTGAGGTACGTATGGTAGCTCCAGTTCCATTTAGCATTACGTGAATGGGCCAAGGACTGGGAAAGTGAGAGAATGCCTCCAGCTCTGAGTTTGGTTTTTGTCTTCTAATGTCCAACAAAATCATGACTTGGGACATCATCTCAGTGGAAGATGTTAACAGTCCTTCAGAACAAAAAGCTGTCTTCTAGGATAAGTGAGCAATCAGAATGGAAGAAGCAATTTACCAGTAAAAAAAAAAATCTCTTGTACATAATTTAGAGACTGCAAATGCTGAAAAGAAAAATGATTTCTTTGTCACTACCAGGGCTGCAGAGTAGGTTTGTAAATAATGCTTGCATGGAGGTCTGTCTGCTTCTCCTTCAGACTTTCACTGATATTCTTTTGTTTCTGCTCCGTTGTCAAGAAGACAGGGTGACTTGCAGGATGGATAGGAAGGGAACTGTAATTATGGATGCACTCTAAGCATGATCATAGCATTTCACCATATCTTCCACTCCTTACCCATATAGAAAAATATGAATGTCTATGAGCAGATGGGTTATTTGATCAGCAGGCCATGATGATAGAGCTGTCATACTACTCTGTGGCTTGAGTCTTCTGTATGCCTGAAGGAGGGTAGTGGTTTATCCTTGACATAACAGTGATTTTTGTGTTTTCTATGTCTGCTCCAAATAGGAGAGTGCAGGGGCTGAATATATGTGCCTGGATATTGCTTGTAAGACAGCTACAGTAAAAAATTCAAGTATGTATCTTGAGGCATTGTGTCACAGGTGTCAGATGCATGGGGCATGAGACTGATCAAGAAAATGAGCAAAATGTTGCATGAGTCAGTCCTTTATCAGTTCTGCAAGGAAAACTATGTCTGACAGAAGCATAAGTAGTGGGTCCAGCATCCTGGGCAGAGAAGTTGCTGAGCACTGAAGGGGTGAAGGGGGAGGCCAAGCGCTAAAGAGCAGGGGTGGGGTGGGAGTAGGGTGGGGGGGTTGTAAGCCCCCATGCTACAGTGCAAGCTCCTTATACCCTGGCTGCTGCTGTTGTCACATGGCCTTTTTGGGGGCTGCCATTCTGGCACTTCTTCTAAATCAGTGCCCAGGACTGGCACTCTGCTTGCTGTGTCTGAGTTATGCTACTGGTATCTGAAAATTTGTAGGGCTTACTATTAGTAAATTTACACTAACTTACAAGTTAAGCAGCTTCAGTTAAATGATTTTGTAGACCCCAGGAAGCTTCTTCTGCATTTTGGACCTGACCCAGCTAAGCATGTAAAGGCACACTTTAAACATGCGAGCACTGCCACTTACAGGATGGACGGAGTTACTCACCTGCCTAAAGTTGAACATTTGCTTAAATGCTTTGCTGATTCAGAGCTACACACAGAAGAGGGATGGCCATGCTGTGACCACTCCTGTTCATTCTACGTGAGCTATGTACCACATATCCTCAGGGAACAGCTCTGGACTTAATAGTGTGATTTTACCAGTTTTCTGGGATGCTGCACAGAGGTCCTGTATTCAGAACACCTCCCACATCCATTAGCTCCTTTTCATATTGCCTTCCCTTTTCTTCTCCACTGCCTTTCAACTTGATTTCAATGTAATGCATCTTTCAGAAATGAGCTGTCCAATAGGGGGTAGCATGTCCCTTGTTTGCCTCAGCCTGCTCCCATTTTCAGTTCTTCAGCGTTTAAAGGTCTGAGAGAAAGAAACAGACAGACTGTGGGGGAAGAAAGGGAAGATGAAAGGCATAGGTTTGTTAAAGGGTCTTCTTTCTGAGGGTAAGCCTAGGGCTGTCCTGGGGAAGCACTGCTGTGTTGTCCATTGCTCTGCCCCACTGTCTTGTTTTGTTTTCACATCAAGTGACTTGCCCATGTTGATCTGCAGAAGTCAGTCAGACACGATTTCAATCCAATCCAGTATTTGATGATCCTGCCCAGATTTTACATGCTTCCTTTTTTTTCCCCTCCTAATGTGGTTGGATAAGTCTTCTGGTATTTCCTGCTGCAGACTCCCTCCAACAGCTGTACAGCTTTCTGATGTAAATGCCTTTCTCCTCCTCACCAGGGTTTCTTTGCGGCTGCCTTCCCTAGAAATAGAAACAAGAAGGGAACAGCTTCACAAGCCAGCCAATGCATAAATAGCCAGAGTATTTTGACTGAAGGAGTTCAGGCAAGGAAAGCAACAACTGCTGTAAAAAGGCAGCTGCTGCTTGCAAGTGACAGGGCAAAGCCACAAGGTATTGAGCAGCGCATGGCAAGCACTTGGAGAGGCTGACAGTTCAGAGGAGGAGGACAGTCTCTGGCCCGCACAAGTCTCTCCAAATATAAAAGCTGAGGGGATACAGAGGGAGGGATCTTCGCAACCACGACTGAGCTGGGCATCATCATGTCAGACCCATTGTGGAGGAACTTTTTACTACGGTGAAGACAGCGGTCAGCAAGGAGTAGGAAATGGGAAATTTGCTTCACTGCTCATTTGCGACTGGGGGACTGGATGTCTGAACTGTAGTTGATTGCACCTTGAGAAGGTAAGGCATCTTTTCTGCTTACAGCAGATCTGTGTTTGTGTATTTCAGATAAACTGCGATTGCTGGTCCTTTGTGAATGGGGCATTCCTTCCTTCTCCCCTTGAACTACACCCTGGCTATGGAAGGCTGCCTCTTTTAGCCTTACATTGAAAGAGTAGTACTAGCTAATTTCTGCCAATCTAGCAGTGAAATAAGTGTGAACTCGGCATCGCATGCAGAATTCTTTTTCTCAGAAATACATCCACATATAACAGGCTGTCCAGGATTTACTCATACCTATTTCTGTGGAAACATGGACACTCCTCATAACATAGAAAATGAAATATATTTGAAAAGAAGCCTGAGCAACATTACTTGGACACATGTGAAATTATATAAATTGCAGTTCTAACAAACAATAATACTAGCATCCAGGTAGATGGCACATTAAGAGCCAGCATATGTCCATTCCTCAGTGAATCAGAAATGCAGCAATATTTGTTTTATGATGCCATTGTCTTGAGTGTTTCATTTGATTTTCCGTGGATCTTTCTGTCGCTCATCCTTAACAACATGGATCCGCTGCTATCTAAAAAAGAAAAGAAAAAACCCCAAATTCCGTAGTTCCATGCTTGCAATTGAAAGCCATGCTTCCAAGAAACCATTTGGCAATATCGAGATCTCATTTCCTGCAGAGCACCAACAAAAAAAGGAATCTGAAATGTCATCTCTTACTCGCACAAAGATCCTTGCTACAATCACTAAGAATTTTTCCTGAGTAGGATATACAAAACCCCCCACCAAACTAAAACAATCTTGTTAAAACCTTGGAACCTCGCTTAAGGACACAGTCATTGCAGAACTGCCCTGTGTTTTGTTTTGCTTTGTTTTGAAGTGTGATTCCAACTGACTGCACTGTTACATGCATTTGCTTTTGCTTACTGTCATATAATAGGGGATACAATTGGCTTGTAGTTAATACCCCACGGTGGCTTTGTTTATATAAGCAAGATGCCATGGAATTTTCCTCTTTATCCAGATCACATTTATCATAGTATTTTCTAGGAAAAGCTGTGTTTGTGCTGCAAGTAAAATGTGTACTCGTTTTAGATGTCACTTCTGTCTTTCTAAAAAAAAAAAAAAAAAAAGGAATTGTTTTCTCTTGGAATGAATTAACCGTATAGATGAGGTGTTAGAGTAGCTTGTTATTTTAAATTAGGTTCTTAATATCTTTTTGTTTCATGACATAGGTGGCTGCACACATTATACAAATCTATATGTATGATGCTGTATACAAGGGTTTTCCTGTACTGATACCATACTAGTGAAATAATAACAAATCTTTCAGGCCTGAAATACTTAGTGGCTGAATTTACTAATGCTTTCTGAAAAGGCTTTTGGGAACAAATGTATATAGAACATACTGCTATTCTTAAGCGAGTTTGTTGCAGTTTGGGATGTATTGGTGGAAGTGGCAGAATGTCAGAATAACTCAAGTCTTTCGCCACAAACTAATCAAGCAGGCACTCCCAGCACATTTATACTACAGCCAAAGGTGAATTTAAGCAGGCTGTCAGATTTAGCCTAAGGAATTGCAAGACTTTTAGGGTTGCATACTTCTGTTTTTAAAAATGCATTGTGTCTGGCAGATACAGGGCCCATTTTGAGACATTTCTTGTAACATGATAAAAACATTCATGGAACTGTCATCATTGATATCAGTCACCCATCTGTAAAATGGGGAGAATAACTGCTAACCTCGTTAGTGGTCATATCCTACTGCAGCAGAAGCCACATAAGTCCCTGTATAAAAGCTTACAAAGGTTCTACTGTAAATGCTTAAGCCCATGTTTAATACTGAAACATGGTATTACTCCAAGTGAGGTACTGGTAAACCTGCTTAAAGGCTTGCAGGATCAGGGCCAGTGTACGTAAGAGGCTTTGAAGACTACAAGTGCCATAATCTAACTAGCCTATCTCTAACCATTAATGCATTCCCTTTACCCAATACCACTGTAATACTCTGACCCATGTATTTCCCCCTGTTCACAAGGCAGCAGACAGGGCAGTAGAGGTCCATATACAGAAGAATGGTGATTACACAGGATGTCTTCCTCATTTGCCATCTTTTTCCCTGCCCTGCCCCAGGCCAAAACCTAAGGCATTGTGTCCAGGGAATGAGGGAAGTAGGCACTGGGGAGAGCTTTTCTCTGTTGTATGCCATAGGATTTTTCTCACCCAGACCTGAAGAAGTTAGACCTAGTTTCCCCTGGTGTCTCTGGGGAAGTGTTGGTGGCTGTTGCATACTACATGGGGAACAGGCAAGTGATGGCAACCACACTTGTAGCTGTTGGTGAGGGAGGAATATAGAAGAGGAGGGTAATATTTGATCTGTGTCAGAAATGTTATAGGATTTGAAGGGTACTCCATGAGGTGTGTACTTGAGCCTGTTATCCTGTTGGCCCACGAGGATGAAACTTGGGTGACAGGGACAAATTTTGACTGATTCAAGAGAAGAGGAAGGCACCTTAATAGGTGCCCTACTTCTGTGTAAATGTTTTAAAAATAATTTTAATCAATGAGGGTTGTACAAGTTGAATGATATTTTTCTATATTCTTTTTATGGTCCTTAAATTTAATTTCCATATTCTTTATCACAATATTGAATCATCAGGTGAGTGGGAGGTAGGGTTGTATGATCAGAACTTCAGTTTCTATTACTGGGCTATGTGTCTAATAATGTAGCTTATTAGACAGAGCATTGGAAAATATGAGTCTCTGCCTGAAAAATTTTGAAAAAGTTTTGTGATTTAGAATCTGCCATACCTTTAGGCTAATGATGCATTCTGTCTCCTAATACAATTCAAAAGTACATGCATATCAGGGCAGAAGTTGGTCACGATCATTTTATATTAGGCCAATTTGACAAAACATCAAATTTAGACTTTATCCAAATTAATAGCTAAAAAAAAAAAAGCATTGGTGTCCAAGGTCAGTAAAGATTCCTCTTGACTTCAGCTGCCACTGTACCAGGCCATCATTCTTTTCAGGCTGGATCCTGCATAACTTGGGAACAGGAGCTGGATGGTAGCACATATTAAGCTTCCCCCAAGTAGGCTATGCCTAGTGGTTACTTGCTTCTGATTCACTAAGCTAGTAGAAAGCTTGCATAGGAACCGTATGCTCTTCAGTTGATGGCTGACTTGTTTAAGGGCAGGAGGGCTACCATGGGGTTTCTTTCTTAGTATGGCCTCTCTGCCTTAGATGATTTAGCACGGACTTCACTCAATTGGAAATGCAGATCCTCATGACTTCACTGTGTGGTTGGTAAGATGAGTGTGAAAGGGAACGAGATGCAGTTGAGGAAATGGTAGCAGACAGTCAGAATGCCAAACACATTTGCCAAGGAATTACAGTGACCTCTTTTAGCAGCATGTCTCAGCCTTTAGCTACCCTTCTTTATGTGTCTGGTGCTCTCTAGACTACCCAAGCTGGCATTGGCACTGTGCTTCCCAGAGTACGTGCTTTCTGCTGTTGAGCAAGTGGCTGCAAAGAATTACTGGAGGCAGAGCTGAGGTGGTTTTGGGCCCCTAATTGAAATTCATAGGTTTGCATTTAAATACCAGGCTCTAACCTCACCTCAGCCCCACCCATCAATATGCTCTTTCTGGCCACGCCACTTGTATGGAAGTATGAAAAAAACAATCCTGGCTCAGGATGGTATGGCTAAAAATATACCCTTCGAGCAGCTGTGGTGTCTCTTCCGAGGGCAAAGAAGTGGTGCCTCCAGATCTTCCCGCACATGGTTTGTTGCAATGGAGGATGAGCGTCAAAGGAGATTTCCACAGAAAGCAAACAAAATTTCCCCACATGGCACTGAAGGCTGCTTTCTTGCCATCTTGATTTCTGCTTTCTAAGCATTCCTAATTCATATTCCCAAGTCTGCATGGATCATTTAATTTTCTGGAAGCACGTTTTTTTCTGACTGCAGTGTTTACTGCCCATCTTCTGCTGCTTTGACACTAATTAGGCACAGCATGTTTTAACCCACTGCAAATTTCAAGCCAGCATTCTAATATAGTAGTAGCTCTGATGAGACCATTTCAAACATCTCCATCCATTGCTGCTTTGCAGATGGCTGGAGCAAAAATGATCCATGGATGTAATGATTTTCCCACCCTCCTAAGCTTCCAGGGGAGAAGATAAACAAACAAAAAATAAATCCTGCAGTAGCACATCCAGATTCAGACTGCTTCATTACTGGTGGGTTCAGAAACTAAGACTTTCTATCAGTAATGCCTGCATACCATCTAGAGGCCTATTATTACACTTGTGTTAGGCTTCTGATACCAGGAATGCATGCATCTGTAGCATAAGGAAACTGAGCGATTGAAAAGGAATGTTCTGCAGAATTTGTAGCAGATGACTGGCACGTTTGTTATGTTGCCTCTGCATGGCTTTAGGCCATCCCAAAGGCAGAAGGCTATTTCTGAGCCAGAATTGCCAGGCTGTTTCTTTAATTTGGAACCAGGGGTGGAGAGATAGTGGAGTGTGTACCCATTGTTCAGGAGGCAGAGCTTTCCCTTTGGAACGGTCTGAAATCTCAGATTTTGTTGTATTGTGTCGGCATAATGATAGCTGGGCTTGTATCGACATTTCCATTGTATTCCTTTTGGCTGGAAGGATTTATAACTTGGAAACCAAACTTTGCTCTGGGCTGAAACTGACACATACAAATGTCTTGATTTGGGATTTGTATCAATTTATTTTAGTTCTAAATAGAATATGTAAGGTTCAGCACCTTAATGGACACTGGTTGTTTATACGTAGGCTTTCCTCTCTGAGATATAAAAATCTCTTGTGATGGAGGAGATTTTGGCTACGAGTCAAGATCAATAATCTTTATTGTGCTGGTTTAGGCAGCCTCCTTACTGTGTATGAAGATGCTTTGTTATACTCGCAGCCAAGCTTGGGCCTTATGTAAATCCACTCAAGGGCAATGCCAGTTTTGTGGTGTCTTG